TTGAAATTCTGAATTTTATCTGCGAGCGAATACCGAACCCTAGCACCCAGAAAAAATATGCAATCTTCTCACCCACAAAGTAGGTTACCTAGGCTGTTATCATTTTAATGCGTTGACCCAATTATACGAATACAATTATGGACATGAAACAGTGTTTATTATCATGTCAATATGTACTTATTCTCTCTTCGATGCAAACATTAAAACCCTTTCAAATTCATTTTCTTTCTTTACATGAAGTAACGACGAATGAAATGTTCAGCGTATGTGTGCGTAGCGTAGCCGTTATCGGCTCGGAAAATGGATTGATTGATTTGTTTTCGACGGGTTATTGACACTTTGCTGGTTATTTAAAGCCAGAAAACAGTTTTAGATTTAAAGAATTTCTTTCTTTAGATAATAATGATTTATTGATAAAAGTCTTCTTTCTTTTTTATGTGCCATGTCCTTTCAGGACGAAGGCGGCCATGGCTCTCCACATCACTCTATCCCTTGTAACTCTCAACAAGTACCTTCCCTCTGCCACCTCCCCCAGACCACCTTCTGTCATCCACCTGATCAAGCCCGCCAGGAATGTCACGTGCTGTTTTCCCTTGTCTCTCTTTCCCGCTATTCGACCCGTGAGTATCAGATTCTCCAGGCCCTCCTTCCTCATTATGTGTCCCAGAAACTTCAGCTGTCACTTCCTGATGTTAAGCATCAGCCTCTTCCTTATATGCATCTTCTCTAAGACCTCATCGTTACTCACACGCTCGGTCCATGATATCCTCAGCATCCTTCTGTAGAACCACATCTCCGTCGCCTCGAGTATCTTCTTTATCCTTGAGGAAAACGTTCAGCATTCGGTGACGTAAAGAAGGACAGATGTCATGTAACAGCTCAGTACTCTTTTCCTAGTCACCAAAGAAATCCTCCTGTCTCACAGTACTCTACCCAGCTTTTGGAATGCGTCCTTGGCCATCCCAATACGTCTTCGGATCTCAGTGTCGCACTTACCGTCCTCTGTCAAGACGCTTCCAAGATACTTAAACTTCCGCGTCTGCTTGATTCTAGTGTTCATCGCATTTCGGGTTCATCCTTTTACTGACGACCATACACTTCGTCTTCTTGTAGTTTATACTTAGTCCCTTCTTCTCACTCTCCATCGCTACCTTCTGTATGAGATTTTGTCATTTCTTACTAATTAATTAACCCATAGATGAGGGGAAGAAAAGGTGGATTGATAGCTCATCAGAATTTGATAAACGCACAAGAAATTGTAATGTTGGTATAAAGTGGGGGATTAATTGTATATTACAATCACTACATAAATTTATCCCTCACTTTGTGATTACAGTAGTTTCTATATATTTATATTCCAGAGAATGTAAATAAATGTAAAAGACATACCTGTGTAGCTAATCAATATTTCATTGATTGATTGATTTGTTTTCTACGTTTTATGAACCCTTTGCAATTTAAAGCCAGAAAATAGTTTTTGATTGAAAGAAATTCTTTTTTTAGATAATAATGATTCTAGTGATAGAAATCTTACTAATTAACCCATAAGTTGGGGGAAAGGTAGTTTCATATCTTTCCCAAGGGTATTTGCGCGTAAGGGAATATAAGGAACACAACTGAAATTGGAACACGGCTCTTCGACTAACAATTTCGATCATTTATACATTAAACTAACCAATATATCCTCGCTTACAGCACATGATGTTCCCAAGCGGTCACCCATCTAGCTACTGACCAGGAACGACGTTGTTTAACTTCGTTGATTGTACAGGAACCGGTGTTTCAACGTGATAGGACCGTAAGCCATACCGCCCGCATATCCTAGCTTACAGCTCCTGGTATTCCCAAGCGGTTCCCATCTAGGTACTGACCAGACTCAACGTTGCTTAACTTCCGTGATCGTTAGGGAATCGTAGTTTCAATGTGATTTGACCGCAGGCCATACCGTCCGCACATCTATATTTACAGCACCTGGTATTCCCATTTAGGTACTGACCAGTCTCGACGTTGCTTAACTTCGGTGATCGTACGCGTATCGGTGTTTCAACGCTGTATGATCGTAAGCCTCGGCAAATGGAATCGGCATGTCAAGTGCAAATTCGTGCCAAAGCAATTGCATTCACTTTTGCACAAAAATCCTTGGAAAAGTATGAATCTATTTCATTTTCTATCAGCTACGAGTTAACGGCGGGGCTGTTTCAGATCTCTTCGTTGGGCGTAGGGCTAACAAACTCCAACCCGTAAAAACATGTTACGGAATGCCCGGCAGCAACACCACAGGGGAGTTAACGAAGTTTACATGCTCTTCTGTAATGCTTTATCTTTGCAAGATTAGACTAAATCGGGAGTATTGCTGTGAAAGAGGAACAAGGAATTCTAATTTACCCGTGGCTAAGCCGCCATTTGCAATTTAGTGAAAGCGCATGTGTGGCTCTAGCTCTTTTAAAACTATCGATACTTTGCATGCGTGGTCAAAAAACCTGAATCAGAGGTGAGCCGTACAGACGATCAGGGAAGGGTCTACAACATTTTGACCGGTACCGTGTGGCTGTCAACTATAGGTGCTGCCCAACCATCAGTTTCTCGTCTTTCGATTTTCAAAGTCTTTTTCGCAACCTTATGGGAGGTGGCATATTTTCCACTCAGCATTCTCTTTCCCCGCAGACGCAACGCCGCAAGCCTGTTTATAATCTGTCGCTAAGAACCCGCCATGCTACATCCACGGAGTTGAACCACTCACAATTCCTTCGTATTCCAATTGTAAGGAGGAGGTTTCACTTAGAGAGCCCTTTCCCCAAAACTGTTTCTTTGTGCAACAGACTCTCAAGTGAATACTTCCCCGAACAATACTCCTTCCTACTTTTACATCCATATCACACACCTCATTTAGTAACCCTCTACCATGAGGGGCTCTCGAGCCTTGTATTGGGTGAAAATTAGGTTTTTAAAAAAAAAAAAAAAAAGCACCTCGACATATACTCGCACACAAAAAGCAAACATCAAATTATCCACGATGATGAGATTCGAACTCACTGGTACAGCTCAAAGGTGAGCGTCAAAATTAAACATGTGTGAAAGATTAACTATGGAGATAAGGTAGTAACACATAACAGAAAATTTAACAGAGAAATTCACTGACACAGAAAAATAACGAAGAAGAGAGAAACAACCTCGGCGCGAAAACGCTTTAGTTTAACAAACATCGACCGATGAATTGTCGTTCTTACCTGGAATGTCCGAAGTGTTTAGATTGAAGATTTCGCGCAGAAAGCAGACCCAGAGCTGCGTCTCGGTGGCAGTTGCAGCCGAAAAAAACAAAACTGGGGTGTCGCCCTCTCGGATCTCGAAAGCGTTCGGGTGCGTCTTGGATCTGCTTATTAATTTTATGGACGTCACATGTTCCAGAAGGATTGAGTTGATCTTATTCTCTGGTATGCTGGCCTGTCCGGCGTGGGTGTAAATGTCAAGCTTTATTAACATTTTGGCGACCGAGAGATCGCTAACTTTGTGCAAGACTACCCATCGATTGCACCACACCTGGAATGGGGGAATAAAAAGATCAAATTACGAATTAAAGCGTGATTGATTTGTGTATAAAATGACTGAAACCGATAATATAGGAATAATCGATCTGTTGTTATTAATTATTATTACTATTATTAGATGTTTCAAATTAAAGAAACTACAAATCAAGTGATTTCTCATCTTCACCGTGGCTGCTCGTTAAATGACCATCTGCTCAGGTCAATTAGTGTTTCGCTAAAAGATATCGTGTTCACAGTCATCAGTGGGAATGAAAGGAGTTGGCAGCTGCTGCACATATGGGTATATATCTATATATATATATATATATATATATATATATATATATATATATTATCAGGATTGTTTCAATTTAACGGCCCACCCAGAGTGATTTCTCATCTTCACCGTACCTGTTTCTCCCGAGCATGACCATCTGCTCAGGCCAATTAGTGTTTCGCTAATCGATATCGTGTGTTAATCGAACAGTCATCAGTGGGAAGTAAGAAAAGACATGACAGCAGAAGATATGGTATGTATATATGTATTATGAAGACCGTTTCAACTTAAAGGCCCGCTGCAAATCAGAGTGATTTCTCATTTTCACCGTGACTCCCATTAGGCGTTCAAGACAAGGAGCCTCATTGAGAGGACAACCATTCATTCTAATAGGTGAATGTTTAGAGTCTTATCTTCAGCGTGATTGCTTATTCCCGATCATGACCACCTACCCAGGCCCATGTTTGTTTGTCCAATGCGTACAGAATGGTTTATTCAGCAAATACGATGAGCAGACCTAAGTTACTAGGACCGTACGGTTTTGAATTCAGTTATGATTGTGATTTCTACGTGCATTGTCCATTCAGAAAGTGGCAGTCATGCCTCTCCACAACTTCCTACCCTTTTTAGCTCTTTTAGCTAGGCTAGATGACAGAACAATGATGACAAATCTCTTCGTCCTCTAAATTAAAAAAATTAATCGCAAAACGGCGAAGACGCTTCCGAATTCTGTTATGGCTAGGAATTAAGAAAGTAAGGAGCAGGCAGCTGCAGACATGACAACAGTACCTCATTTTCGGTCTGATCTCTTCTTGCAAAGGTAGATCATATCAAGCGGTCTCAGTTACTTACTAATGCAGAAAAATAGTTAATCACCTTGTAAGTAAATAATTAATCGCGAAGACGTTTCTGAATTCCGTCAAAGTTGGGAAGAAAGTAAAAAGTTGGCAGCTGCAGTTATACTCCAGTAGTAGTCCACTTTTGGTCTGATCTGTTTTTGTAAATAGCAGGAGGACTTGGGTACTTAATGGATTGGTAGAAGGGACCGACAATATTCCCATCATCTCTAACGATGATTTGTATTAATGAATTCCACTTGAGGTCTGGGGTGGATGATTCCCATTAGGCGTTCAAGACAAAGAGCCTGGTTGAGAGAACAACCATTCATTATAATAGGTGAATGTTTAGGGTATTGATCGGTAATGGCAGAGTTTTGATGAAAGGGAGACGTGTCGAGTGGATCGATTATCAGGACTGTTTAGACTTGAAGGACCAATCCAAATCAGTGTGACTTTTCATTTTCAGCAAAATGGCTTGTTTCCGAGCATGTCCATCAGCTAAGGCCCAAAACCCACGGAACCAACCTTTGGTTTGTGCTGCAAATATACTCTGCAAACATTAGGAACAGATCGCCCAGTTAACCCTCTTGATTTGGAACAGGGGTAGAGGTTTATCCCTTGTCTCCGGTTTAGGATTAGGTTTCCAGTTCGTCTGTCCCGGTTAATGTTTAATAAACTCTAAACACTTCAAACACATCGGAACAGTTATAGAAAATTTAGTAAATACGATAAGGTAGCTGAACAGAAAATAGGCTGTACTAGTGTATTTTTTCAACACCACAAAATGTTACAAAACCAAAACATTAACCTAAAACCTCGTGTCATGGTCTTAAATAGCTTCATCATATTGAGACTTGCATATGGTTATCAGCTGGTTGAAGCTGATGCACGTGGGAGACAGCCTTGAACCATCGCCTATCATCAGTGACAGCGATCCTGTCGAGTTCACCACAGTTCTCGTTTACTTAGATCCAGAAGTTTCAAACTGCGGCGACCTTCTAATTGAGATCAACAGAAGATGTGGGGTGGCTGCAGGTGTCATGAGAAATATTCAGAGATCACTATAACGACATCTCCTGGCTCATCAAGCGACAACTTTACAACACCACTGTTCTAAATAGTAGCACTTATATCTGGAAAAATAATTGTGATTCTCCCCCAAAAATTGTTATGGCAATATTTACTCTAAAAAAAATAAAGACTTATTCTTACAAACCAAGACATGTTTCGCCTTTAAATAACCTATAGATGGTTGAAAATGATGAGAATTTGACATTCCACATTATGTTATACAAAACGTTAGGAAGGAAACGCCTATAAATAGTAGAAAAAGTGATATCAGTTATTAGACTAGGGTAGATGACTCATTTTCATGAAAATATGTTTTAGGCCTGCGTTAGTCACCTCGGATTTCCGAAAATGGACAGCATCCTGACGTCATTCTCCCTCGACGACTGAGCTACAACTGCGCCACACCGCGTGCTACACACACTCAAATGTCAGGAGGGTAGTGGGAGGGAGCAATAGAAGCAAGTTGCTGGCTAGAAATTATGAGCACTTTTAAAAATTTGGGGATGCATAAAACAAAACACACGCTTCTTAGATAGATAGATAGATAGATAGATAGATAGATAGATAGATAGATAGTGAACATAATTAGATAGATAGATAGATAGATAGATAGATAGATAGATAGATAGATAGATAGATAATGAACATAATTAGATAGATAGATAGATAATGAACATAATTAAATAGATAGATAGATAGATAGATAGATAGATAGATAATGAACATAGATAGATAGATAGATAGATAGATAGATAGATAGATAGATAGATAGATAATGAACATAATTAGATAGATAGATAGATAGATAGATAGATAGATAGATAGATAGATAGATAGATAGATATAAATTATACAACCGTTTTCTCGGATCAATGATGAAAAATTAATTCAAACGAATGAACCCTGTAAGTTTTAAAGAAGGCTATCTTTCATCAGATTTCATAGACTGGCGCTACACAATCACAAACAAAGAACTTTACCAGATAATAAAAACCACATCACTTAAATACTTCCAACAGCGCAAACAACTAAATTCCATTAATTCTTTTTTAATAAGTTTTATTAAATTCACTTGTTATGTACATCAGAATAAAAGATGTAGATAAACTGTCCAAAGTTCGTGTTTTTATTGTTTACGTTCAAGTACTTTCAGCCATCTTAGTTATCAAAAATTGTCAGACATATTGAAAACATTATTCTGTTGGCTATTAACCTTGGCATGCAAGGATGTAGAGAACATCTTGCCTACCAAACTGACAACATCCAGTTCTTGATAAGGATTTACAAATTATATAACAACAAAAGGACATTAGAAATTATATTTGCTATATAAATCAAATTATTTTGCCCTAAAAAATATATGTGGGGGTAATAACCCCTTACTGTTCCTGTATGGACAGGTATGGTAGTTATGGCAAAGTGATTTTCCTTAGAGTTCACTCCGCTACAGGGAGAAGTTGAGCAATCATTTTCCCAAAGGTATTAGTGCGAAATGCATATAAACTATTTTAGCCAGAATTTTGAATTCATTTCACAGATTTTGTTATATAGAGAGAGGAGACACGGTGGAGTAATGGATAGCAGCTAGATTCAATGAAATTCATTTACGTGCTAACCACATTTGGGGTAAGGTATGAATTCTCTTCTTCTCCCCACCCCGCCAGCTATAGCCTTGGATGGATGACAACTGGTCTACCGCAGAAAGAAATGGCAACCTACTGCGGGAAAATATCTGCCTTGTCAGTGATGTATCGAAGGATACATGATCACCTAAGCGTGTATCACTTATGGCACATAACTGACTGACTTTCTAGTCGAATCCATTACATTCACTTACGTGCTAATACCCTTGGGAAAGGTATGAATCCTTTTCTTAAAGATTGTGGGTAAATAGCAGGACAGACCGGATTCTATAGACTTGGATGGCAATTGGTCTAAGGCAGAAAGAAATGGCAACTTGCTGCGGGAAAAAAAATCTGCCTCGTCAGTCATGTATCGAAAGATACATGATCCCCTAAGCGTGTACCAGTCATGACACATAACTGACTGATATAAAGCTCAAAGTTTGTTCGTTTGTCTACTTTAAACCCTTAGAATTATATGTATATAAAGTTGGGGTGTGTGTATGAGGATACGTAAGTGAGTGTGTGTGTGCGTGCGTGTGCGTGTGTGTGTGTGTAAGCTTATAAATCGTTGCAACGTTTAATAAAAAATATGAGGTTAAATCTTTCATACATAAAATTATTGTTTATCTAATTCTGACCTTCCTCAGTTACTGTTGGCGTGAAGGTGTGTGTCTTTGGAGAATTGATATTCTTCTTGTGCGCATATGAGAGACTGTCGCTTTTCCCTCTCGAGTGGGAACGCTTCTACAACTCTCTGTTATCCTGTTGTCTCGCTCGCGTGCACCCTAAGCTCAGCTGGATTTGATATTTATCTATAAGATCATCTGAATAGAATATAGCACAAGGCTGAGTTTAAAAACAGAGTCTTCTGCATACATAGGACTTTTTTTTTTTACAATGCCGTTCGTCCTGTACAAGGCCCGAGAGCAACTCAAGGTAGAGAGTTACAGAATAAGAAGCACACCATATGCAGATATGTCTGGAAGATAACGGTTAACCCTAAACTTGAACAGGTTATGGCTGTGGTTACCGGTGAAGCAACATCTTGGAAGTTGGCTCCACAAGGCAAATGGTTCGTGGGAAGAAGCTGCTCGAGTGGAACTTACATCCTACCAAAGGAATACGAAAGGAATGAGGGTGGTTC